TCACGGAGTAGCTTTCCAACATCACACAGTGAATCTACAAGGAGTAGTAGCTTTCAACATCACACAGTGAATCTACAAGGAGTAGTAGCTTTCCAACATCACACAGTGAATCTACAAGGAGTAGTAGCTTTCCATCACACACAGTGAATCTACAAGGAGGAGTAGCTTTCCATCACCACAGTGAATCTACAAGGAGTAGTAGCTTTCCACATCACACAGTGAATCTACAAGAAGTAGCTTTCCAACATCACACAGTGAATCTACAAGAAGTAGCTTTCCATCATCACACAGTGAATCTACAAGGAGTAGTAGCTTCCAACATCACACAGTGAATCTACAAGGAAGTAGCTTTCAACATCACACAGTGAATCTACAAGGAGTAGTAGCTTTCCATCACCACCAGTGAATCTACAAGGAGTAGTAGCTTTCCATCACACAGTGAATCTACAAGGAGTAGTAGCTTTCCATCACACAGGAATCTACAAGGAGAGTAGCTTTCCATCATCACACACAGTGAATCTACAAGGAGTAGTAGCTTTCCATCATCACACAGTGAATCTACAAGGAGTAGTAGCTTTCCATCATCACACAGTGAATCTACAAGGAGTAGTAGCTTTCCAACATCACACAGTGAATCTACAAGGAGTAGTAGCTTTCCATCATCACAGTGAATCTACAAGGAGTAGTAGCTTTACAACATCACACAGTGAATCTACAAGGAGAAGTAGCTTTCCAACATCACATAGTGAATCTACAAGGAGTAGTAGCTTTCCAACATCACACAGTGAATCTACAAGGAGTAGTAGCTTTCCAACATCACACAGTGAATCTACAAGGAGTAGTAGTTTTCCACAAACTTAATTGATATGAAAAAATGAACTACATGCTCTACCAACTCAGCTACAGAGAAGGCCCAAACCAATACGTTTATAAAAATACCTGTGAAGTGATCCTGGTTTGCCCAGGGCTTGGATATTGAGGTAGAGAGCAGACTGCAGTAATCCCGAAGCAGATCTTGATCCAGTTTTTGCGCCTTGTTTCGTGTTTCCTGGTATCTGTTGTAGTAATAGGATCCAAGGCCTTGTGGTAATTGCAGGAATCGGTCTGGTATGGCTAAGATGGGGGTCCATAGACCAGAGCGCTTTGGACAATCTAGGAACGAATCCAGCCTGTTTGGACGTAAGAAAATAGGAGAAATGTAAACATGTGAGTCTGATTATCATTATTAAATACTTTAACATGAATTAATTAACATTAACATCAATTAACATAATATAAGATGTATAATAGAATACAACATTCTAAAATGTTCCTAAGAAAAACAATATTGACAAAAAATCAACAATTTTAATCAAAAGTAATGTATAATCAGCTCTTTACTTAAATGTATAAGCCTAACTTGGCTTGAACAAAATATTATCCACTATTCATCGGTTTATCTACACTTTCTAGAAGAAACAGGGCTATATATATAAAATGTTTAGCTCTGTAAAATGAATGCAGAACTGAAATAATTTGCATTCCAATACAATCCCTATCATCTAGATTGAAAACGTAATTTAATGTGACGAGTATAATATTTCTGTAATGCTATTATTTGCACTTTCATTATTATCCTGCAGGTGGCAGTACTGAGTCAAGTACGGCTTCCTGCGAGGTCATGTCCAGAGTCACTGAAGGATTAAATGACCAAAAGGAACAGTCTATTGTCTCATGGACAGCAGTGGTGCCCTTTTTCAGCTACTGTACCACCAACTGGAGAACCCCTGAAGTACCCCCTCATGTGCATGTTTACAAGTAGGCCTATGGTCTCGTGAGTCTTCTCAAGTACCCCGTGTGGATAGGCCAAGTACCCCCAGAGGTCCTAGTGCCCCTGGTTGGGGACCACTGATCTACAGAATAAACATTATTTAACATGCACAATTAGAATCATCAATCCATTCCATTTGTATAGCGCTTATACCAAAAACTGCCACAGAGCAAGCTTTACTAAATTCAGGGCCAGTAGGCCCATACAGTCAGTCACTCACCGCATCCTCCATCCAGCGTCATCTGGCTGCCAGGAAAAGCCCCCCACCTCAGAGACGGTCGACCACGTCATTGTGGAGCTCCTGATCTGTGCAAAGTGTGTGCAATGCAATGGCGGCGACGCATTCTGCAGGATATGGCGGGCTGTTCTTGGCGGTGCACGAGAACTTCAAACACATTCCGCCTTGGTGTTGTCTGTCTGCCTACTGCAGGCCGTAGGCTACCGGTCAAATGTAAGTTATGAATCACAAATCACCATACAGCTGAAATTCTTTAACGTCATCACTTTTTTTGACTTAAATTTGTTGCCCAAAACGCTATCATCTTTTGCTGTGTCTTTGCTGATGAATGCCCTGATCTCTGGCCAGTCGTTTGGTTCAATGACATGATGTTTCGGGTATGAACTGCTTCAAATAGGTCAGAAAATTAATTTAACCGACTGTTTGCAAATAACGTAAATAATATGAATTTGTTTAAACTGGATCATAAATAATATGAATTTGGGCCGACCAAAGCCATGCTGGAGAAACTAAACATCTGTGCACGCAGGTCCCAAGTGTGTGTGTGTGTGTCACTGTCCAGTCGGAGGCCCAAAGCGGGTGATCTGAGGCGGTTTGGTCATCAGCATGGGAGAGTGATCACTATATGAACAAAACACCGCAGAAGTCAGTAAAAAAAAAAAAGGAGAATAGTGAAGCTCATCTGTTATAAATTAAATTTGTATGGCCTAACAGAATAAAACACAGTTAGAGAACATCTACCTGCTTTCCCGATCTGCACGGCCAGTTTGGTGAGTTTACCCTGTAGAACACTCTTCTCTTTCTTTGGTATGTTGGCTCTCTTCTTCTCCACTTCTCCCCCCTCTGCGCTCTTCAGAGGCTGCATCTCCATGGCTACACCCTCGTCCTGCTTCTTGGCTGGAGAACACAACACAGGAGTTTCAAAGTAAGCCCAACCTGACCCCTGACCCCTGACCCCTGGCTGTCTGTGATTGGTTACCTTTATTCTGGTTGTTCTCCACCACCACTTCGGGCTGCTTCCCTGAGAGAGATAATTAATCAATCAATCAATCAATCAATGTTTGCTACAAATTACCTTAAATACTATGCAGTTGTTAGCTCGATCTTACCCTTCTTCTTCTTGTCATCCTCCTCCTCCTCCTCCTCCTCCTCACCGGCCCCCAGCAGTGTAAAGATGATGCCAGTCTGAGAGTTGACCCCCACAGCTGTCACCAGCATTCTGCCTGAACCCTCCATCACATGGGTTCCTATAGAGAGACAAACACACAGACATGATCAGTTCTATACACATGGGTTCCTATAGAGAGACAAACACACAGACATGATCAGTTCTATACACATGGGTTCCTATAGAGAGACAAACACACAGACATGATCAATTCTATACACATGGGTTCCTATAGAGAGACAAACACACAGACATGATCAGTTCTATACACATGGGTTCCTATAGAGAGACAAACACACAGACATGATCAGTTCTATACACATGGGTTCCTATAGAGAGACAAACACACAGACATGATCAATTCTATACACATGGGTTCCTATAGAGAGACAAACACACAGACATGATCAATTCTATACACATGGGTTCCTATAGAGAGACAAACACACAGACATGATCAAGTTCTATACACATGGGTTCCTATAGAGAGACAAACACACAGACATGATCAATTCTATACACATGGGTTCCTATAGAGAGACAAAACACACAGACATGATCAGTTCTATACACATGGGTTCCTATAGAGAGACAAACACACAGACATGATCAATTCTATACACATGGGTTCCTATAGAGAGACAAACACACAGACATGATCAGTTCTATACACATGGGTTCCTATAGAGAGACAAACACACAGACATGATCAATTCTATACACATGGGTTCCTATAGAGAGACAAACACACAGACATGATCAGTTCTATACACATGGGTTCCTATAGAGAGACAAACACACAGACATGATCAATTCTATACACACGTGCACAAAGCACAAACACAGGTTCATGTACCCACCCACAGACACACCCACCCACAGACACACCCACAGACACACACCCAAAGACACACAGCCACCCACAGACACCCACAGACACACAGCCACCCACAGACACCCACAGACACACAGCCACCCACAGACACACAGCCACCCACAGACACACACCCACCCACAGACACACAGCCACCCAACAGACACACAGCAACCCACAGACACACAGCCACCCACAGACACACAGCCACCCACAGACACCCACAGACACACAGCCACCCACAGACACACACCCACCCACAGACACACAGCCACCCACAGACCAACACAGACACCCCACAGACACACAGCCACCCACAGACACACAGCCACCCACAGACACCCACAGACACACAGCCACCCACAGACACACACCCACCCACAGACACACAGCCACCCACAGACACACAGCCACCCACAGACACACAGCCACCCACAGACACACAGCCACCCACAGACACACAGCCACCCACAGACACACACCCACCCACAGACACACAGCCACCCACAGACACACACCCACCCACAGACACACACCCACCCACAGACACACACCCACCCACAGACACACACCCACCCACAGACACACAGCCACCCACAGACACACAGCCACCCACAGACACCCATTAAGATGGCATCGTACTGGATGGCCGCCGTTCTGCAAGCTCTGACCCAACTTTACTATTTTGTGATTATTTAGTGATTTATTTTTTACTTTATTTACACGTAATGTATCTGCTATTATTTCTGACAACCGACAAGCACTCTTGAACATCAGATCAGCAGTTACTTACCCTAATTCCGGCTTCAACTTCGACTTCGACTCATCTGCCCTGCGCTCTTTCTGTAATTCTGACCCATTTTTCGGGCTACTCAAGAGGAAGCGCCGATGTTAAAGAGGCAAGAGAGGGGGGATCCTGGAGAGGTTAAGGCGAGAGGGGGGATCCTGGAGAGGTTAAGGCGAAGGGAGAGGGGGGATCCTGGAGAGGTTAAGGCGAGAGGGGGGATCCTGGAGAGGTTAAGGCGAAGGGAGAGGGGGGATCCTGGAGAGGTTAAGGCGAGAGGGGGGATCCTGGAGAGGTTAAGGCGAGAGGGGGGATCCTGGAGAGGTTAAGGCGAGAGGGGGGATCCTGGAGAGGTTAAGGCGAGAGGGGGGATCCTGGAGAGGTTAAGGCGAGAGGGGGGATCCTGGAGAGGTTAAAGGCGAGAGGGGGGATCCTGGAGAGGTTAAGGCGAGAGGGGGGATCCTGGAGAGGTTAAGGCGAGAGGGGGGATCCTGGAGAGGTTAAGGCGGAGAGGGGGGATCCTGGAGAGGTTAAGGCGAGAGGGGGGATCCTGGAGAGGTTAAGGCGAGAGGGGGGATCCTGGAGAGGTTAAGGCGAGAGGGGGGATCCTGGAGAGGAGGTTAAGGGGGGATCCTGGAGAGGTTAAGGCGAGAGGGGGGATCCTGGAGAGGTTAAGGCGAGAGGGGGGATCCTGGAGAGGTTAAGGCGAGAGGGGGGATCCTGGAGAGGTTGAGGCGAGAGGGGGGATCCTGGAGAGGTTAAGGCGAAGGGAGAGGGGGGATCCTGGAGAGGTTAAGGCGAAGGGAGAGGGGGGATCCTGGAGAGGTTAAGGCAAAGGGAGAGCCGGCCACCTCTTCCCTCCATTCTACTGGCCAATGTACAGACTCTTGATAATAAGATGGATGACCTCCTATCGCGGATTTGCTACCAACGGGACTCTTGAAACTGCAATATTCTCTGCTTTTCTGAAACATGGCTCTCAGACAAAATACCCCCCATGGCTATCCAACTCGAAGGATTCTGCTTTCACTGTGCCGGGGGGGGGGGGGTTTCCTCTTCATCAACAACAACTGGTCTGCTGACTCCAGCGCGGTGGAAGTCTCGACCCATTGTTCACCCGAGGGCCGCCACTGACCCAGAGGACTGGGTGATCTCCCTCTCCGAGGCCGACGTGAGTCTTTAATCAGGTCAACACCGGCAAGGCCGCGGGGCCCGATGGTATTCCAGGGCGCGTTCTCAGAGCATGTGCAGAACAGCTGGCAGGTATATTCAGGGTAATGTTCAACCTCTCCTTGTTCCAGTCTGTAATCACCACATGTTTTAAGATGACCACCATCATTCCTGTTCCTAAGAACTCTAAGGCTTCATGCCACAATGACAACTGCCCTGCAGCACTCACATCTGTAATCATGAAGTGCTTTGAAAGGCTTGTCATGGCTCACATCAACTCCATCATCCCAGAAACCCTAGACTCACTCCAATTTGCATACCAACCCAACAGATCCATACACGACGCAATCTCAATTGCACTCAATAATATAATATAATAAATAATATGCCATTTAGCAGACGCTTTTATCCAAAGCGACTTACAGTCATGCGTGCATACATTTTTGTGTATGGGTGGTCCCGGGGATCGAACCCACTACCCTGGCGTTACAAGCGCCGTGCTCTACCAGCTGAGCTACAGAGGACCACATATATTTATACTGACTCTACACACCCACACACACACTCACATACAGTGGGGGAAAAAAAGTATTTAGTCAGCCACCAATTGTGCAAGTTCTCCCACTTAAAAAGATGAGAGAGGCTTGAAATTTTCATCATAGGTACATGTCAATTATGACAGACAAAATGAGAGAAAAAAATCCAGAAAATCACATTGTAGGATTTTTAATGAATTTATTTGCAAATTATGGTGGAAAATAAGTATTTGGTCAATAACAAAAGTTTCTCAATACTTTGTTATATACCCTTTGTTGGCAATGACACAGGTCAAACATTTTCTGTAAGTCTTCACAAGGTTTTCACAGACTGTTGCTGGTATTTTGGCCCATTCCTCCATGCAGATCTCCTCTAGAGCAGTGATGTTTTGGGGCTGTCGCTGGGCAACACAGACTTTCAACTCCCTCCAAAGATTTTCTATGGGGTTGAGATCTGGAGACTGGCTAGGCCACTCCAGGACCTTGAAATGCTTCTTACGAAGCCACTCCTTCGTTGCCCGGGCAGTGTGTTTGGGATCATTGTCATGCTGAAAGACCCAGCCACGTTTCATCTTCAATGCCCTTGCTGATGGAAGGAGGTTTTCACTCAAAATCTCACGATACATGGCCCCATTCATTCTTTCCTTTACACGGATCAGTCGTCCTGGTCCCTTTGCAGAAAAACAACCCCAAAGCATGATGTTTCCACCCCCATGCTTCACAGTAAGTATGGTGTTCTTTGGATGCAACTCAGCATTCTTTGTCCTCCAAACACGACGAGTTGAGTTTTTACCAAAAAGTTATATTTTGGTTTCATCTGACCATATGACATTCTCCCAATCCTCTTCTGGATCATCCAAATGCACTCTAGCAAACTTCAGACGGGCCTGGACATGTACTGGCTTAAGCAGGGGGACACGTCTGGCACTGCAGGATTTGAGTCCCTGGCGGCGTAGTGTGTTACTGATGGTAGGCTTTGTTACTTTGGTCCCAGCTCTCTGCAGGTCATTCACTAGGTCCCCCCGTGTGATTCTGGGATTTTTGCTCACCGTTCTTGTGATCATTTTGACCCCACGGGGTGAGATCTTGCGTGGAGCCCCAGATCGAGGGAGATTATCAGTGGTCTTGTATGTCTTCCATTTCCTAATAATTGCTCCCACAGTTGATTTCTTCAAACCAAGCTGCTTACCTAGTGCAGATTCAGTCTTCCCAGCCTGGTGCAGGTCTACAATTTTGTTTCTGGTGTCCTTTGACAGCTCTTTGGTCTTGGTCATAGTGGAGTTTGGAGTGTGACTGTTTGAGGTTGTGGACAGGTGTCTTTTATACTGATAACAAGTTCAAACAGGTGCCATTAATACAGGTAATGAGTGGAGGACAGAGGAACCTTTTAAAGGTCTGTGAGAGCCAGAAATCTTGCTTGTTTGTAGGTGACCAAATACTTATTTTCCACCATAATTTGCAAATAAATTCACTAAAAATCCTACAATGTGATTTTCTGGAGAAAAAAAATCTCAATTTGTCTGTCATAATTGATGTGTACCTATGATGAAAATTACAGGCCTCTCTCATCTTTTTAAGTGGGAGAACTTGCACAATTGGTGGCTGACTAAATACTTTTTTTCCCCACTGTACAAGCTGCTGCTACTCTGTTTATCATATATCCTGATGCCAAGTCACCTTACCCATATACATCTACCTCTATCGATCCAGTATCCTGCACATTGTTAATATGGAACTTACTTTATCCTGTTCTTCTTATTTCTTATTTTTATAACTTGTGTGTTTTTGTTCTACCTTGTTATTTTTAGTATTACATTGTTATTGATTACTGCATTGTTGGGGTTAGAGCTGCTAAGAAAGGTATTTCACTGGACTGGTGCCATTAAAAGTTGAAACACACAGACACACCCACCAGAGAGAAGCATAGGGTCCTTGTCCACGGTCTTCCCAACGTGGTCCGATTCCCCAGTCAGAGAGCTCTCATCTATCTTCAGGTCATTTCCCTGGATCAGGATACCATCCGCTGGCAACAGGTCACCTAGAGAAAGCATACAATATACAGTGCCTTCCGAAAGTATTCAGACCCCTTGACTTTTTCCACATTTTGTTACGTTACAGCCTTATTCTAAAATTGATCACATCGTTTTTTTCCCTCATCAATGACAAACCAAAAACTGGTTTTTATAAATTTTTGCTAATTTATAAAAGAAATGGAAATATCACGTTTTCATAAGTATTCAGACCCTTTACTCAGTACTTTAAGCACCTTTAGCCTTGATTACAGCATCGAGTCTTCTTGGGTATGATGCTACAAGCTTGGCACACCTGTATTTGGGGAGTTTCTCCCATTCTTCTCTGCAGATCCTCTCAAGCTCTGTCAGGTTGGATGGGGAGCGTTGCTGTACAGCTATTTTCAGGTCTCTCCAGAGATGTTCGATCGGGTTGAAGTCCGGGCTCTGGCTGGGTCACTCAAGGACATTTAGAGACTTGTCCCGAAGCCACTCCTGCGTTGTCTTGGCTGTGTGCTTAGGGTCATTGTCCTGTTGGAAGGTGAACCTTCGCCCCAGTCTGAGGTCCTGAGTGCTCTGGAGCAGGTTTTCATCAAGGATCTCTCTGTACTTTGCTCCGTTCATCTTTATCTCAATCCTGGCTAGGCTAATCAACTTTAAGAGACGGTCCTGGCGCTTGCTGGACTTTCTTGGGTGCCCTGAAGCCTTCTTCACAACAATTGAACCTCTCTCCTTGAAGTTCTTGATGATCCGATAAATGGTTGATTTAGGTGCAATCTTACTAGTAGCAAAATCCTTGCCTGTGAAGCCCTTTTTGTGCAAAGCAATGATGACGGCACGTGTTTCCTTGCAGGTAACCATGGTTAACAGAGGAAGAACAATGATTTCAAGCATCACCCTCCTTTTAAAGCTTCCAGTCTGTTATTCTAACTCAATCAGCATGACAGAGTGATCTCCAGCCTTGTCCTCGTCAACAGTCTCACCTGTGTTAACGAGAGAATCACTGACATGATGTCAGCTGGTCCTTTTGTGGCAGGGCTGAAATGCAGTGGAAATGTTTTTTGGGATTAAGTTCATTTTCATGGCAAAGAGGGACTTTGCAATTAATTGCAATTCATCTGATCACTCTTCATAACATTCTGGAGTATATGCAAATTGCCATCATAACAACTGAGGCAGCAGACTTTGTGAAAACTAATATTTGTGTCATTCTCAAAACTTTTGACCACGACTGTAGTTTGCTGAGGATTTCTATTTATTTAATCAATTTTAGAACAAGGCTGTAACGTAACAAAATGTGGAAAAGTCAAGGGGTCTGAATACTTTCCGAAGGCACTGTATACTGTTATACATATAGATACAGATGTAGGATCTTAATTTGAGCCAGTTTGCTACAGCAGGAAAATAATCCTGCATCAACAGGAAATGTGAATTATTATGTGGATTGTAAATAAATTGAATTTTTGGTAGGGATTGATACATTTTTCATAAGGGAAAATGAAGTCTGAAATTTCAAAGTTCAAAAAGCGTTTTTAAACCTCAAGTACACTACACGTTTTACATTTCCTGCATTGCAGGAATGTTGTCCTGCAACAGGGAAATCAATATATAACATATAATCTATCTTCAGGTCATTTCCTTGGATCAGGATACTATCCGCTGGTAACAGGTCCCCTAGAGATAACATACAATATTATACATGTAGATATACTCCTATAGATACAATATACAGCATACATACAGCATAATACTATTGTCCTGGTTACCTACCGTAGAATCTACCTTCAGACCATTGTCCTGGTTACCTACCGTAGAATCTACCTTCAGATCATTGTCCTGGTTACCTACAGTAGTATCTACCTTCAGATCATTGTCCTGGTTACCTACAGTAGTATCTACCTTCAGATCATTGTCCTGGTTACCTACAGTAGTATCTACCTTCAGATCATTGTCCTGGTTACCTACAGTAGTATCTACCTTCAGATCATTGTCCTGGTTACCTACCGTAGTATCTACCTTCAGATCATTGTCCTGGTTACCTACAGTAGTATCTACCTTCAGATCATTGTCCTGGTTACCTACAGTAGTATCTACCTTCAGACCATTGTCCTGGTTACCTACCGTAGTATCTACCTTCAGATCATTGTCCTGGTTACCTACAGTAGTATCTACCTTCAGATCATTGTCCTGGTTACCTACAGTAGTATCTACCTTCAGATCATTGTCCTGGTTACCTACAGTAGTATCTACCTTCAGATCATTGTCCTGGTTACCTACAGTAGTATCTACCTTCAGATCATTGTCCTGGTTACCTACAGTAGTATCTACCTTCAGATCATTGTCCTGGTTACCTACAGTAGTATCTACCTTCAGATCATTGTCCTGGTTACCTACCGTAGTATCTACCTTCAGATCATTGTCCTGGTTACCTACAGTAGTATCTACCTTCAGATCATTGTCCTGGTTACCTACCGTAGTATCTACCTTCAGATCATTGTCCTGGTTACCTACCGTATTTGACCTGAGCCATATCCCCCACCACCATGTCAGCTACGGGTATCTGGATGACGTTTCCTTTCCGTACTACAGCGAAGCGCTGCTCCTGTTCTATCCTGCTCTGTAGCCCACGGAACTGTTTCTCTTTAGACCAATCATTGAAGGCCGTCACCAGGACCACACAGACGACGGACAGCAAGATGGCGGCGCCCTCAATCCACCCGGCTTCAGCCTCGCCCTCATCCTCCGCCCCTCCCGACACGTTACCACACGCTGGGGAGAAACACACCATTATCCATCTATATAGCTAGCTATCTATCAACCCTCCCCTATGTATTTATTTGAAAAATGTTTAATTTGGCTCTTTACTCCAGCATTTTGGATTTGAGATCAAATGTTTTATATGAAGCAAGAGTACAGAATGTCACCTTTTATTTGAGGGTATTTTCCTACATATCTGTTTACCATTTAGAAATGAAAGCACTTTATGCATCTAGTCCCCCTATTTGAAGGTGTCATACAGATGGAGGATCTTGTTGTAGGAGAACGTTCCTGCAGTGCAGTACATCAAAAACTTGTAGTGTATTTGAAGTTTAAAAAGGCTTCTGAAGTTTGAAATTTCAGACTTGATTTTCCCTTACGAAAAATGTATCAAACCCTACAAAAATGTCCATTAATTGTAATCCACATAAAATTGCAAATTTCCTGCTGTAGCAAACATTCTCAAAGTATTTGGACAAATTCACTTATAATGTATTAAAGTAGTCAACATTTTTGTATTTTGGTCCCATATGCATAGCACACAATGACTACATCAAGCTTGTGACTTGATTTGACAAACTTGTTGGATGCATTTGCTGTTTGTTTTGGTCTTGTTTCAGATTATTTTGTGCCCAATAGAAATGAAAGGTAAATAAAGTAGTGTGTCATTTTGGAGTCCCTTTTATTGTAAATAAGAATATCTTTCTAAACACTTCTACTTTAATGTGAATGCTACCATGGTTACGGATAATCATGAATACATCGTGAATTATTATTATCGTATCCCCCCAAAATGCTAACGTCCCCTGTTATTGGTAATAGTGAGAGGTTATCACGTCTTGGGGGGGGGGGGGGGGTGTTATCTGTTCCTATGTTCTCATCACTATTCACGATTCATTCAGGACTATCTGTAACCATGGCAGCATTTACATTAAAGTAGGAGTGTTTAGAAACACATTCTATTCTTATTTACAATATTGGCTCTATTTTAATACACCTAACACAATGGTAAATCTTTGCGCTGCTGTCGCTTTATAGTTTTGGGGGTGTTCATTAAATAGCCTGCACCATATTTGCTAAATATTTTGAACATGTTTGCAGTCCACATTGTTCTAATTGCATTGCTTCAATATGGAAATACCTTGTTAAACATCGGCTATAGCATAAGGGCTGGGCCTACTGTAAATTCATTTGGCAGTCTGTGGACGTGCCAAACGTAGTCAATAAGCAACATTAAATTCACTAGGTTATTGATAAGGCCCAAAAAGACAGTGTATAATTCTAACCAAATTCTAATAAAAACGAAATAACCAATTGTTTTAAATAGGCTATGTCTATATACAGTTACAGGCACCATAGTTGCTCCCCGTGGGGGTATAATACAGACAAGGCAACTTAGACTATGGAGGGTTTTACGCACATCCAAACTTTCCGAAGGAGCTGGATAAAGATCCAATATAAAGAGAAAGGGGGTATGTCCACTCACCGTTATACTGCTCGCAAATGTTATGTTTTATAAACATCATGGAACCATCGTACAGATCACATTTTCACTTCTTCAGAAATAGCAGACGAAATTGCATTGCATTAAAGCCATGTACGTTCTCACCGTAAACCCATGGATGGTGAATATTTCTATTACGTTTGGATTTAAATCAAATTAAATGAAAAAAAAATCAATCCGTTTTTTAAAACAACAATATTTCTAATTAGGATCGTGTCAGAAGCATGATATCATACATCTCTTCTCTCGTTCCATGTCTTAACGCAGAACATTCGCAAGTCTATACAAAATACTAGGGTCGTCCATTGTATCGTTGCCTATGTGCGAGGTAGATTCTAAAAATAATCTGCCTTTCATATGACATTATATGACTGAATAGTTTCGAGCTAGCTAATGTTAGACAGGTACATTCCCGCTGGCGTTAGGGTGGAAAACGGCAGCCAGTTTTATCAGGACAAAATGGGACACTTGGGCCTCCTTAGCGCCAGCCGAAAATAGAGCCCTGAAAGTGACTCCAAAATGACACAATTCATGATTTACCGCTCATTTCTATTGGATACAACACCATCCGAAACATAACCAAAACAAAACTGTAAATGCATCCAACAAGTTTGTAGAGTAACAAATTTGATGTAATCATTGGGTGGAATATGGGAACAAAATATTAATACTTTAATACATTATAAGTGAATTTGTCCAAATACTGATGACACCTTCAAATGGGGGGACTAGATACATGAAAATACCCTCAAATAAAAGGTGATATTCTGTACTGTCGCCTCATATAAAACATTTCATCTCAAATCCAAAATGCTGGAGTAAATCGCCAAATTAAACGTTTTAGCTTCACTCTCCAAATAAATACGGAAGGGAGTGTGTCTAACTGCCTGCCTGCCTGTCTGTCTGTCTGTCAGCCAACCAGTCAACCATCCAGACAGACACACCGGACAGACAGACATCCATCCCAGGTCGTACCCTCAGTGTCATCTCCGGGGGGTTGGTAGAAGGACAGGCCCAGGGAGATGATGGCCGCCACCTCCAGGATGATCAGAGTGACGTCCTGTAAAGCAATGAATCAATCCATATTTCAATAAACCAATCTACATGTAACTGCCAAAATAAAGGAAACACCAACATAAAATGTTTGAATTGTTTTTTTGGGCCACTACGAGCCACCAGAACAGCTTCAACGCACCTCGGCATAGATTATATAAGTGTCTGGAACTCTATTGGAGGGATGCGGCAACATTCTTCCACGAGAAATTCCATCATTTGTTGTTTTGTTAATTAATGGTGGTGGAAAACGCTGTCTCAGGCGCCGCTCCAGAATCTCTCATAAGTGTTCAATTGGGTTGAGATCTGGTGACTGAGATGGCCATGGCATATGGTTTAAAGCTGCAATATGTAACTTTTTGGGCGTCCCGACCAAATTCACATAGAAATGTGAGTTATCTATCTGTCATTCTCATTGAAAGCAAGTCTAAGAAGCGGTAGATCTGTTCTATGTGCGTTATTTCTATGCTTCCCTTTCTTAAGTTTAGTTTTTCCTGTCTTTTACTTTCTGTTTTGTTAACCAAATATTTTTGGTTATGGAAAGTATATTTCACAGTGATTTAGGTGGTCCAATGATTCTCTACACTATGACCTCTTGTTTTGTCACATAAACGGAAATTAGGCAAACTATTAGAATTTTAGCAACCAGGAAATGTAGGAGGTCTTTCTGCATATTGCACCTTTAACATCGTTTTCGTGCTCATCTAACAATTCAGTGACCACTCTCATGCCCTGTGGATGGGGACATTATTGTCCAATGGGGGCATAGCCCTAGTGGCCTGCTCAGCATGATCCTAAGCATGATGGGATGTTAAATGCTTAATGAACTCAACCTGTGTGGAAGCACCTGCGTTCAGTACACTTATTCATATCAACATACTTGAAGAGCTTCCCAGACCAGCTCCAGGAAGGTCTTGGGCTGTTTAGGAGGGATGAAGTTCTGACCAAATGACTTGCTACGACGATCCAGGTCCGCCTGATCACCTGACAGACCTGCAACACACACGTACACATGTAAATGTAAACACACACATATGTACAATGGGGGAAAAAAAGTATTTAGTCAGCCACCAATTGTGCAAGTTCTCCCACTTAAAAAGATGAGAGAGGCCTGTAATTTTCATCATAGGTACACGTCAACTATGACAGACAAATTGAGATTTTTTTTCTCCAGAAAATCACATTGTAGGATTTTTAATGAATTTATTTGCAAATTATGGTGGAAAATAAGTATTTGGTCAATAACAAAAGTTTCTCAATACTTTGTTATATACCCTTTGTTGGCAATGACACAGGTCAAACGTTTTCTGTAAGTCTTCACAAGGTTTCCACACACTGTTGCTGGTATTTTGGCCCATTCCTCCATGCAGATCTCCTCTAGAGCAGTGATGTTTTGGGGCTGTCGCTGGGCAACACAGACTTTCAACTCCCTCCAAAGATTTTCTATGGGGTTGAGATCTGGAGACTGGCTAGGCCACTCCAGAACCTTGAAATGCTTCTTACGAAGCCACTCCTTCATTGCCCGGGCGGTGTGTTTGGGATCATTGTCATGCTGAAAGACCCAGCCACGTTTCATCTTCAATGCCCTTGCTGATGGAAGGAGGTTTTCACTCAAAATCTCACGATACATGGCCCCATTCATTCTTTCCTTTACACGGATCAGTCGTCCTGGTCCCTTTGCAGAAAAACAGCCCCAAAGCATGATGTTTCCACCCCCATGCTTCACAGTAGGTATGGTGTTCTTTGGATGCAACTCAGCATTCTTTGTCCTCCAAACACGACGAGTTGAGTTTTTACCAAAAAGTTATATTTTGGTTTCATCTGACCATATGACATTCTCCCAATCCTCTTCTGGATCATCCAAATGCACTCTAGCAAACTTCAGACGGGCCTGGACATGTACTGGCTTAAGCAGGGGGACACGTCTGGCACTGCAGGATTTGAGTCCCTGGCGGCGTAGTGTGTTACTGATGGTAGGCTTTGTTACTTTGGTCCCAGCTCTCTGCAGGTCATTCACTAGGTCCCCCCGTGTGGTTCTGGGATTTTTGCTCACCGTTCTTGTGATCATTTTGACCCCACGGGGTGAGATCTTGCGTGGAGCCCCAGATTGAGGGAGATTATCAGTGGTCTTGTATGTCTTCCATTTCCTAATAATTGCTCCAAACCAAGCTGCTTACCTAGTGCAGATTCAGTCTTCCCAGCCTGGTGCAGGTCTACAATTTTGTTTCTGGTGTCCTTTGACAGTTCTTTGGTCTTGGCCATAGTGGAGTTTGGAGTGTGACTGTTTGAGGTTGTGGACAGGTGTCTTTTATACTGACAACAAGTTCAAACAGGTGCCATTAATACAGGTAACGAGTGGAGGACAGAGGAGCCTCTTAAAGAAGAAGTTACAGGTCTGTGAGAGCCAGAAATCTTGCTTGTTTGTAGGTGACCAAATACTTATTTTCCACCATAATTTGCAAATAAATTCATAAAAAATCCTACAATGTGATTTTCTGGATTTGTTTTCCTCATTTTGTCTGTCATAGTTGACGTGTACCTATGATGAAAATTACAGGCCTCTCTCATCTTTGTAAGTGGGAGAACTTGCACAATTGGTGGCTGACTAAATACTATTTTTCCCCCACTGTAACTCAAACACACACACACACACACACACACACACACAATCATGTTTTTTTACACAATAACTAGACTTTAGCTCAGTGGGCTAATACTCAGTCACTCAGTCACTCAAATGTGACCCAAACCCAGATGGACCAGTCACTCGTCTGAAGATCTGAAGGGATTGGATCGATGTAGGGATGGGCGTTAACACCTAAATACCCTAAAGACCAATGTATCAAAATAAAATATAAGATACTTTTGCAAAGTATTGTATTTCATTAAAATACATTTATTTTGTATTTTAAAATGCTAAAATAAATAGGCAAGTAGCTGAAAAGCAACAACATTTTCAGTAAAGGTTACAGAAACTTCTTCCTTGCTATTGACATTTTTACATTTTACATTTTCGTCATTTAGCAGACGCTCTTATCCAGAGCCACTTACAGTTAGTGAGTGCAAACATTTTTCATACTATAGAATAAGACCTCACATCAGCTCTATTCATGGCATTTCTATCTGCAACGTTCGACAACGTTTGGAAACTGAACGTGGCCTTGTATTCTACCCAGCGACAGCGCATGAAGGAAAAAACGTCCCTGATTGGTTGAAAGAAAATAAAAACATTTTACATTATTACAATATCTATATTGCCCTAGTTCTTAAAATAAAATAGGTCAAAAGAAATAAGATTGATGTAGATAGTTACAGTAGATTGTTGGTGGTGATGTCTCAATAACAGTAATGATTTTACCAAATTAATGATCTGACCAACATTGGAAGCAGAACGTTTACCCACCCTACGAACAGAGTAGGGTCGGGTGAAATTGGTATCATTCAGGACAGTAATATTAAGACCTGCAATGATCCCCAAAACAATTGATCTTAAAGTTGATGCATTGTTCTATCTTTTAATTGCTCTACTGTACTGTCTGAAGCATGTAAGCAAAGCTTGCCTCCAAAATGCATATTTTATAAACATTTCAGACGGTCTACATTACAGCTCTGAATCATTATCTTAAAGCCTTGTCATAAAACAAGTCATTTAATATTGGCCTGAAAGCCATTGACGACAATTCCAACATTGAAACTCCTGCCCCGTTAGCAAAAAAAAATAAAAAAAGTTTTCCAACCCAAAATGTTTCTTCTCTAATATTACAGCTCTTTTAAAAACAAGCGTATTACCTTTCCATGTAATATATTGTATATCAAGCATTCAATATCTTTATCTAACAGCAAATAAGACTTCCTCTGGTCAATGGATCATAACGTAATTACATTTACATTTACATTTTAGTCATTTAGCAGACACTCTTATCCAGAGCGACTTACAGTTAGTGAATACATATTTTTTTATACTGGCCACCCGTGGGAATCGAACCCAAAACCCTGGCGTTGCAAACGCCATGCTCTATCAACTGAGCTACATCCCTGCCGGCCATTCCCTCCCCTACCCTGGACGACGCTGGGCCAATTGTGCGCCGCCCCATTGGTCTCCCGGTCGCGGCCGGCTGCGACAGAGCCTGGATTTGAACCAGGATCTCTAGTGGCACAGCCTTAGACCACTGCGCCACTCAGGAGTACTGTACTGTAATTAAAACCAACACTCCTTGGTCTCACAATATGATCAATTTTCTTTATAAACTGCAAAGCCAAAAACCTTGAGCTATGTGCTCTTTAAAAAACATACTGCCGCCCATGCACCATGAATGCACCCAGCACTGCATGGGGGCGCATTGGAATAGTACAGTACTCCTGAAGCCCCGTCTTCAGTGAGATGACGCAATGGTGAGTCAGATGTATGAAATGCGCCACCTAGTGGAGAGGAGAGCGCACTGGAAGCCGATACAGTGAGGGAAAAAAATATTTAATCCCCTGCTGATTTTGTACGTTTGCCCACTGACAAAGAAATGATCAGTCTATAATTTGAATGGTAGGTTTATTTGAACAGTGAGAGACAGAATAACAAAAAAAAAATCCAGAAAAACACATGTCAAAAATGTTATAAATTGATTTGCATTTTAATGAGGGAAATAAGTATTTGACCCCCTCTCAATCAGAAAGATTTCTGGCTCCCAGGTGTCTTTTATACAGGTAACGAGCTAAAATTAGGAGCACACTCTTAAAGGGAGTGCTCCTAATCTCAGCTTGTTACCTGTATAAAAGACACCTGTCCACAGAAGCAATCAATCAATCAGATTCCAAACTCTCCACCATGGCCAAGACCAAAGTGCTCTCCAAGGATGTCAGGGACAAGATTGTAGACCTACACAAGGCTGGAATGGAGCACGGCGCTTGTAACGCCAAGGTAGTGGGTTCGATCCCTGGGACCACCCATACACAAAAATGCACAAATGACTAAGTCGCTTTGGATAAAAGCGTCTGCTAAATGGCATATTATTATTATTATATTATTAAGGTGACAACAGTTGGTGCGATTATTCGCAAATGGAAGAAACACAAAAGAACTGTCAATCTCCCTCGGCCTGGGGCTCCATGCAAGATCTCACCTCGTGGAGTTGCAATGATCATGAGAACGGTGAGGAATCAGCCCAGAACTACACGGGAGGATCTTGTCAGTGATCTCAAGGCAGCTGGGACCATAGTCACCAAGAAAACAATTGGTAACACACTATGCCGTGAAGGACTGAAATCCTGCAGCGCCCGCAAGGTCCCCCTGCTCAAGAAAGCACATATACATGCCCGTCTGAAGTTTGCCAATGAACATCTGAATGATTCAGAGGAGAACTGGCTGAAAGTGTTGTGGTCAGATGAGACCAAAATGGAGCTCTTTGGCATCAACTCAACTCGCCGTGTTTGGAGGAGGAGGAATCCTGCCTATGACCCCAAGAACACCATCCCCACCGTCAAACATGGAGGTGGAAACATTATGCTTTGGGGGTGTTTTTCTGCTAAGGGGACAGGACAACTTCACTGCATTAAAGGGACGATGAACGGGGCCATGTACCGTCAAATCTTGGGTGAGAACCTCCTTCCCTCAGCCAGGGCATTGAAAATGGGTTGTGGATGGGTATTCCAGCTTGACAATGACCCAAAACACACGGCCAAGGCAACAAAGGAGTGGCTCAAGAAGAAGCACATTAAGGTCCTGGAGTGGCCTAGCCAGTCTCCAGACCTTAATCCCATAGAAGATCTGTGGAGGGAGCTCAAGGTTCGAGTTGCCAAACGTCAGCCTCGAAACCTTAATGACTTGGAGAAGATCTGCAAAGAGGAGTGGGACAAAATCCCTCCTGAGATGTGTGCAAACCTGGTGGCCAACTACAAGAAACGTCTGACCTCTGTGATTGCCAACAAGGGTTTTGCCACCAAGTACTAAGTCATGTTTTGCAGAGGGGTCAAATACTTATTTCCCTCATTAAAATGCAAATCAATTCATAAAATTTTTGACATGCGTTTTTCTGGATTTTTTTGTTGTTATTCTGTCTCTCACTGTTCAAATAAACCTACCATTAAAATTATAGACTGATCATTTCTTTGTCAGTGGGCAAACGTACAAAATTAGCAGGGGATCAAATACTTTTTTCCCCTCACTGAATGAGCTAAATACTAAAAGGTGAGAAGGAACCCAGCGCAGGAAATGACCATTAATGCTGATTGGCAAGTTGTTACACATCACCTTTAAATATAAAAGAGAAAAAAGAAGAGAAAAACAGGAAACAGCAAAGTGGGGTGAGAACTGACTACTAGTAGAACCCAGAGAGAAACTACTGAGCAAAATGGGAGACAGAATATGGAAGTGGGGGAATGAGAACCAGAGAGATGAACATTGACAGTGTTTAAAGGACAGGGGGAAGGAGAACAGACATTTCATTTAAAGGATAGGGGGTGATGGAAAATGGCTAAGCAAAATACCCCAAAATGCTGCACAGGAAATGGGTATTAACTAATCCCAACATCCCACCCTGAACAAACATAGCTTTCGATACCATTCAGAGGAGAGGAGCAAGTGGGAATGACAAAGGGGGTAGAGCAGGGGTGTCAAACTCATTCCATGGAGGGCCGAGTGTCTGCGGGTTTTTGGTTTTTCCTTTCAATTAAGTTCCTTACTAATCAGTGACCTTAATTCATCAACCAAGTACAAGGGTGGAGCGAAAACCCGCGGAAACTCAGCCCATTGTGGAATGAGTTCGACATGTGGGGTAGAGGAGAACAGACAGGACAGGGGTAGAGGAGAACAGACAGGACAGGGGTAGAGGAGAACAGACAGGACAGGGGTAGAGGAGAACAGAAAGGACAGGGTCAAGGAGAACAGACAGGACAGGGGCAAAGAGAACAGACAGGACAGGGGTAGAGGAGAACAGACAGGACAGGGGTAGAGGAGAACAGACAGGACAGGGGCAGAGGAGAACAGACAGGACAGGGGCAAAGAGAACAGACAGGACAGGGGTAGAGGAGAACAGACAGGACAGGGGTAGAGGAGAACAGAAAGGACAGGGGTAGAGGAGAACAGACAGGACAGGGGTAGAGGAGAACAGACAGGACAGGGGCAAGGAGAACAGACAGGACAGGGGTAGAGGAGAACAGAAAGGACAGGGGTAGAGGAGAACAGAAAGGACAGGGGTAGAGGAGAACAGACAGGACAGGGGCAGAGGAGAACAGACAGGACAGGGGTAGAGGAGAACAGAAAGGACAGGGGCAAGGAGAACAGACAGGACAGGGGTAGAGGAGAACAGACAGGACAGGGGCAAGGAGAACAGAAAGGACAGGGGTAGAGGAGAACAGAAAGGACAGGGGCAGAGGAGAACAGACAGGACAGGGGCAAGGAGAACAGAATGGACAGGGGTAGAGGAGAACAGACAGGACAGGGGTAGAGGAGAACAGACAGGACAGGGGCAGAGGAGAACAGACAGGACAGGGGTAGAGGAGAACAGACAGGACAGGGGCAGAGGAGAACAGACAGGACAGGGGTAGAGGAGAACAGAAAGGACAGGGGCAGAGGAGAACTAGAAGGACAGGGGTAGAGGAGACAGACAGGACAGAGGTTAGAGAGAACAGAAAGGACAGGGGTAGAGGAGAACAGACAGGACAGGGGTAGAGGAGAACAGACAGGACAGGGCAAAGAGAACAGAACGGACAGGGGTAGAGGAGAACAACAGGACAGGGTAGAGGAGAACAGAACGGACAGGGGTAGAGGGAGGAACCAGACAGGACAGGGGTAGAGGAGAACAGAACGACAGGGGCAAAGAGAACAAACGGACAGGGGTAGAGGAGAACAGACAGGACAGGGTAGAGGAGAACAGAACGGACAGGGGTAGAGGAGAACAGACAGGACAGGGGTAGAGGAGAACAGACAGGACAGGGGTAGAGGAGAACAGACAGGACAGGGACAAAGAGAACAGAAAGGACAGGGGTAGAGGAGAACAGACAGGACGGGGCAAGAGAACAGAACGACAGGGGCAAAGGAAACAAAAGGACAGGGGTAGAGGAGAACAGACAAGGACAGGGGGTAGAGGAGACAGAAAGGACAGGGTAGAGGAGAACAGACAGGACAGGGGTAGAGGAGAACAGACAGGACAGGGGTAAGAGAACAGACGGACAGGCAGAGGAGAAACAGACAGGACAGGGGGTAGAGGAGAACAGACAGGACAGGGGTAGAGGAGAACAGACAGGGACAGGGTAGAGGAGAAACAGACAGGACAGGGGTAGAGGAGAACAGACAGACAGGGGTAGAGGAGAACAGACAGGACAGGGGTAGAGGAGAACAGAAAGGACAGGGGGCAGAGGAAGAACAGACAGGACAGGGGTAGAGGAGAACAAACGGACAGGGGTAGAGGAGAACAGACAGGACAGGGGTAGAGGAGAACGACAGGACAGGGGGTAGAGGAGAACAGACAGGACAGGGGCAAGAGGAGAACAGACGGACAGGGGTAGAGGGAGAACAGACAGGAAGGGGCAAGGAGAACAGACAGGACAGGGGTAGAGGAGAACAGACAGGACAGGGGTAGAGGAGAACAGACAGGACAGGGGTAGAGGAGAACAGACAGGACAGGGGTAGAGGAGAACAGACAGGACAGGGGCAGAGGAGAACAGAAAGGACAGGGACAGAGGAGAACAGACAGGACAGGGGCAAAGAGAACAGAAAGGACAGGGGTAGAGGAGAACAGAACGGACAGGGGTAGAGGAGAACAGACAGGACAGGGGCAAAGAGAACAGAAAGGACAGGGGTAGAGGAGAACAGACAGGACAGGGGCAAAGAGAACAGAACGGACAGGGGCAAAGGAGAACAGAAAGGACAGGGGTAGAGGAGAACAGACAGGACAGGGGTAGAGGAGAACAGAAAGGACAGGGGTAGAGGAGAACAGACAGGACAGGGGTAGAGGAGAACAGACAGGACAGGGGTAGAGGAGAACAGACAGGACAGGGGTAGAGGAGAACAGACAGGGACGGGGTTAGAGGAGAACAGACAGGACAGGGGTAGGGAAAGACAGGGGTAGAGGAGAACAGACAGGACAGGGGTAGAGGAGAACAGACAGGACAGGGGTAGAGGAGAACAGACAGGACAGGGGTAGAGGAGAACAGACAGGACAGGGGTAGAGGAGAACAGAAGGACAGGGGTAGAGGAGAACAGAAGGACAGGGGTAGAGGAGAACAGAACGGACAGGGGTAAGGAACAGACAGGACAGGGGTAGAGGAGAACAGACAGGACAGGGGCAGAGGAGAACAGACAGGACAGGGGTAGAGGAGAACAGACAGGACAGGGGCAAGGAGAACAGACAGGACAGGGGTAGAGGAGAACAGACAGGACAGGGGTAGAGGAGAACAGACAGGACAGGGGTAGAGGAGAACAGACAGGACAGGGGTAGAGGAGAACAGACAGGACAGGGGCAGAGGAGAACAGAAAGGACAGAGGAAGAGGAGAACAAAACGGACAGGGACAGAGGAGAACAGACAGGACAGGGGCAAAGAGAACAGAAAGGACAGGGGTAGAGGAGAACAGAACGGACAGGGGTAGAGGAGAACAGACAGGACAGGGGCAAAGAGAACAGAAAGGACAGGGGTAGAGGAGAACAGACAGGACAGGGGCAGAGGAGAACAGAAAGGACAGGGGTAGAGGAGAACAGACAGGACAGGGGTAGAGGAGAACAGACAGGACAGGGGTAGAGGAGAACAGACAGGACAGGGGTAGAGGAGAACAGAAAGGACAGGGGTAGAGGAGAACAGAAAAGACAGGGGTAGAGGAGAACAGACAGGACAGGGGTAGAGGAGAACAGACAGGACAGGGGTAGAGGAGAACAGAAAAGACAGGGGTAGAGGAGAACAGACAGGACAGGGGTAGAGGAGAACAGAAAGGACAGGGGTAGAGGAGAACAGACAGGACAGGGGTAGAGGAGAACAGACAGAGGAATTTAATATATAAACAAATTACAAAGCAATGGTGAACATAGTGAATATAGTGAACATGGTGTGATGGAATATTTTAAATAAATGGTTCTTTATTAATCATCGGCTTCCAAATAAACTAAAACTCAAAAGATTCAAACTTTTTTTTATGCATCTACAAAACAAAAAAAACAGAAAAGCAAAGCTATTTCACATCCATGATTGCGTTTTCAAAATCATTGGTTTTTGGGAAGAAGAAGAAAAACATGTCCGCCTCTTGATCTTTGTGAATCCATAAACTAAAGGGTCCCATGACTATGATACGTTGTTGTTTATCTACCTTAGTTGAATGCACTGTCACTCTGGATAAGAGTGTCTGCTAAATGACCAAAATGTAAATGTGTATGTGAAAATGACCAACTGCAAAGCACACTGGGTATTGTCATTGACCTTGTTTCAGGCGGAGCTCATTAGAGTAATACCCAGCATGCTTTGCAATTGTTAATTTTTATATATACATTAACATTGAGTTCATTTAGCAGACACTCTTATCACACCATAGTGCCATCAGACTTCTGATACCAATGTAGGGTGAAAGGGGGCCACAAAATTGTGAACCGCTATAAAGGAATGGTATAGAAATGTATTTTTGTATTTTTAAACTAGAAATTACAGCTTTCGAAAGTATCTTGTTACAAAATACATTGGAGGGTAGTTCAGCCCAGTGTAATGCAACATACAAAATACTCAGAAGTAATTAAAATACGTATTTCAACATGTAACATCCAGTGCATTAGGAAAGTATTCAGACCCCTTCCCTTTTTCCACATTTAGTTAAGTTACAGACTTATTCTAAAATTGATTAAATTCATATTTTTCCTCATCAGTCTACACACAATAGCCCATAATGACAAAGTCAAAACAGGTCTTTAGACATTTTTGCAAATGTATTAAAAATATCAATCTGAAATACCTTATTTGCATAAGTATTCAGACCCTTTGCAATGAGACTCGAAATTGAGCTCAGGTGCATCCTGTTTACATTGATCATCGTTGAGATGTTTCTGCAACTTGATTGGAGTCCATCTGTGGTAAATTCAATTGATTGGACATGATTTGGAAAGGCACACCCCTGTCTATATAAGATCCCACAGCTGACGGTACATGTCAGAGCAAAAACCAAGCCATGAGGTCGAAGGAATTATCCGTAGAGCTCCGAGACAGGATTGTGTTGAGGCACAGATCTGGGGAAGGGTACCAAAAACGTTCTACAGCATTGAAGGTGCCCAAGAACACAGTGGCCTCCATCATTCTTAAATGGAAGAAGTTTGAAACCACCAAGACTCTTCCTAGAGCTGGCCGCCTGGCCAAACTGAGCAATCGGGGAGAAGGGCCTTGGTCAGGGAGGTGACCAAGAACCCAATGGTCACTCTGACAGAGCTCCAGAGTTCCTCTGTGGAGATGGGAGAACCTTCCAGAAGGACAACCATCTCTGCAGAACTCCACCAATCAGGCCTTTATGGTAGAGTGACCAGACGGAAGCCATTCCTCAGTAAAAGGCACATGACATCTCGCTTGGAGTTTGCCAAAAGGCACCTAAAGGACTCTCAGACCATGAGAAACAAGATTTTCTGGTTTGATGAAACCAAGATTGAACTCTTTGGCCTGAATGCCAAACGTCATGTCTGGAGTTAACCTGGAACCATCCCTACGGTGAAGCATGGTGGTGGCAGCATCATGCTGTGATGTTTTTCAGCAGCGAGGACTGGGAGACTAGTCAGGATCGGGACAAAGATGAACGGAGCAAAGTACAGAGAGATCCTTGATGAAAACCTGCTCCAGAGCACTCAGGACTTCAGACTGGGGCGAAGGTTCACCTTCCAACAGAACAATGACCCTAAGCACACAGCCAAGATAACGCAGGAGTGGCTTCGGGACAAGTCTCTGAATGTCCTTGAGTGGCCCAGCCAGAGCCTGGACTTCATCCCGATCTCTGGAGAGACCTTAAAATAACTGTGCAGTGATGCTCCCCATCCAACCTGACAGAGCTTGAGAGGATCTGAAGAGAAGAATGGGAGAAACTCCCTAAATACAGGTGTGCCAAGCTTGTAACGTCATACCCTAGAAGACTCGAGGCTGTAATCGCTGCCAAAGGTGCTTCAACAAAGTTCTGAGTAAAGGGTCTGAATATTTATGTAAATGTACTATTTCATTTTTTCATTTTTAACACATTCGTAAAAATTTCTAAAAAACAGTTTTTTCTTTGTCATTATAGGGTATTGTGTGTAGACTGAGGGAAAAAAACTATTTAATCAATTTTAGAATAAGGCTGTAATGTAACAAAATGTGGAAAAAGTCAAGGGGTCTGAATACTTTATGAATGCACTGTACGTATCTTTTACCATATCCCATCTCTGGATGTAAGATGAAAACTACCAAAATCACTAAGGTCAAATATTATCTTCCTCACACACCCTCTTTCTACCTTCCTTCGCCCTCCCACGGCCTCAACCCTCTTTCTACCTACCTTTACCTTCTCCTCCCACACTGCCTCACCCTCTTCTACTTCCTTCCTCCTCCACTGCTCACCCTCTTTCTACCTCCTCCCTCCCTCCACTGCCTCACCCTCTTTCTACCTTCCTACCCTCCCCTGTGTTCACCCTCTTTCTACCTCCTCCCTCCCTCCACTGCCTCACCCTCTTTCTACCTTCCTCCTCCCTCCTCCACTGCCTCACCCTCTTTCTATCCTCCTCCTCCACTGCCCACCCTCTTCTACCTCTCCCTCCACTGCCTCACCCTCTTTTACCTTCCACCCTCCATGCCTTCACCTCTTTCTACTTCCTCCCTCTCCACTGCACTCCCTCTTTCTACCTCCTCCCCCTCCACTGCCTCACCCTCTTTCTACCTCCCTCCCACCCTCCACTGCCTCACCCTCTTTCTACCTTCCTCCCTCCCTCCCTGCCTCACCCTCTTTCTACCTCCCCTCCCTCCCCTCCACTGCCTCACCTCTTCTACCTTCTCCCTCACTGCCTCACCTCTTTTCTACCTTCCCTCCCTCCACTGCCTCACCCTCTTTCTACCTTCCTCCCTCCACTGCCTCACCCTCTTTCTACCTTCCCTCCCTCCACTGCCTCACCCTCTTTCTACCTTCCTCCCTCCACTGCCTCACCCTCTTTCTACCTTCACTCCCTTCCAACTTGCATCACCCTCTTTCTACCTTCCTCCCTTCCACTGCATCACCCTCTTCTACCTTCCTACCTCCACTGCCTTAAACCCTTTCTACCTTCCTACCCCGACCACTGCCTTCCTCTTTTCTACCTCCATAACTCAACTGCCCTCAACATCGTTCTACCCTTCCTCCCTCCACTGCCTCACCCTCTTTCTACCTTCCTCCCTCCACTGCCTCACCCTCTTTCGACCTTCCTCCCTCCACTGCCTCACCCTCTTTCTACCTTCCTCCCTCCACTGCCTCACCCTCTTTCTACCTTCCTCCTTCCACTGCCTCACCCTCTTTTACCTCCCTTCATTCCCTCCACGTGGCCTACACCCTTATCTACCTACGTCCTTCCCCTTCCAACTGCGTCTCACCCTCTTTCTACCTTCCTCCCTCCACTGCCTCACCCTCTTTCTACCTTCCTTCACCCCTCCACTGCCTCACCCTCTTTTTACCTTCCTCCCTCCACTGCACTCCCCCTTTCTGTCTCTCCCTTTCTCGCTCAATCTCCCCTTGATATGTCATTGACAATGCGGCAAGCTGTTCTAGCACTCCTCTCTCTCTCTCTCTCTCTCTCTCCTCCCTCTCCCAGTATCTCCCTCCCTCCCTCTCTCTCTCTCCTCCCTCTCCCAGTATCTCTCTCCCTCCCTCCCTTTACTTCCTTCCTCTCTCCTGTCTTTTTCTTCCCTCCCCCCTGTCTCTTAGATCTCTGTAATGGTGTCATACTGCAGTATTGAGTCTGTGTGTAATCATGTAATGGTATTCCAGTTCCGATGGTTCCTGTTCCTGGATGCTGTGGTAAAGAGGTGTTAGTGCTGCATATCAACTCTTCTAACTGTTGGCCAGGCGGTAAAAGTTTGGTCAAAACAATCTGTTGAAGTTTACCTCTACCAAACAATCTAAAAGGCTATTTCACTGGTTATCTCGCTGACTATTTCACTAACTATTTTATCAACTCTAGCTAGGTTTCTATCCAATTGGTGACAGATGTCTGACTACCTTACTGACTACCTCACTGACTATCCCATTGACTACCTCACTGACTACCCGACTGACTACCTCACTGACTACTTTACCTACTACCTCACTTACCACTGACTACCCCACTGACTACCCGACTGACTACCTCACTGACTACCTCACTGACTACCTCACTGACTACCTTGCTGACTACCTCACTTACCACTGACTACCCCACTGACTACCTTGCTGACTACCTCACTGACTACCTCACTGACTACCTCACTGACTACCCGACTGACTACCTCACTGACTACCCGACTGACTACCTCACTGACTACCCGACTGACTACCCCACTGACTACCTCACTGACTACCCTATTGACTACCTCACTGACTACCTCACTGAATTCCTCAATGACTATTTACCTAATATTCCACAGACTATTCCACAGGCGGCTGTACTACTATTCAGAGATGGACTGTTGGCCTCCGGACAAATATGCTTGTAATTGGACCTGATTCGACAGGTAGAATAGGCCTCAGCCTAAAATACTAAAATCAATGAAATTGACTGACAGTGTGTGTGTGTGTGTGTGTGTGTGTGTGTGTGTGTGTCATGGTGTTTTGCTACAGTAATGTTGTTCAGTGTTGATAATCTGATCCTGTTAGCTGGCATGAGATCAATCCCACAGGCCAAACAACACACACACAAACGCAGTGGCGCTTTTTCTAGACCCTGGGACCATTTCCTGGATTTCCTCACTAGGCAAGACTAACAATCTAGGTGATGACAGCATGCACCCAGACAGACCACCTTACCGTCAATAGTGTTGGTGAGCAGCCTAGTGGCCAGGCCCTCTGAGTCTCCGTACGCCTCCTGTATCTTCTGGATGGCCTCCCCTCCCCGGAGCTCCATCAGATCCCTGAGCTCCTCCACCGTCACCCCAAAATCTCCCTCTGCAGCATGGTTACCCTCTTCCTTCCCCCCTCCACCTCCTCCTCCTCCTCCTCCTCCACCTCCTCCTCCTCCTCGGCTCCGGCCT